ATCACTGAACTGTAAGCACACTACAAAGCCCAACTTTTGAATCTAAAAATTTGAGCCCAATTTCCGAATTATTTAATTTTCTTATTTTATCCATTTTACTCATTTTATGTCTTCGTTTCCATATCTTGAGCCTTGCCTCAGATTCTCCACTCCTAAGCACTATATTTTTCAACTCCTTTTCGTTCTTCTTCTTATCGTTGTGTCTACGAATTCTCAAGAACAAAGTAAACAGCGCAATTACTTTACTGCAAAATTTTAAACTAATATATATATATATGCATATATATAATTATAAGTATAAGAAAATAATAAAAAATTTAAATTTTAAAGAAAATAAAGAAAATAAAGAAAAAGAAAATTCTAAATCGTTTAATGTAACGTCGCCATTTTAACTTCTAAAGAAAGTGAAAACTTTAGCACGTTTTAAAACAAAAAATAAAAACAAAATCTTTTTATATTTTATGTTAAATATTTATACATTTGTTAATAATTTTAAAATAAGCAAAAAATAATTTTGTATTTGTTTTATGTTAATCAGATATTATCCCCAAAAGTAATGAAATGACTTACTTAGATATTTTCGTTTTACAATTAAATTATGCTTAAAAATTACTTTAAAATATAATTTTTTTTCTTCTCGGTACAATTTTCAGATCAATTCAAAATTTAATATTTCAAAAAAAAAAATCAATAAATAATATAATACAAAAATACAATTTCGTGATATATTATAATTATTATTATAACTATTTTTTAATGCATGATTTTTTTTTATTATGAAAGTTTATTATTTGTTTTTTTCTACTTTTATATTATTTAGTATAAAACTATACAAAACAAGAACATTTTAGCTAAAATTAGCCTTTTTTATAAATGAAATAAATAAATTAAGGAAATGTTTTTAACTCTATTTGTTAAGTGAAAGTTTACAAAAAACAAAAAAAAAACAAAAAATTTATATAAATAAAAATAATATAAATTAGTTTTGCATTACAAAAAATTATAAAAAATAAAATTTAAAACAAAAGTAAAATTAAATCAGTAATTCTGTAACTCAGTAATTCAGTAATTCGAACAATAGACAATTATAATTAGTAATACACTGAAAGAAATATTATATACCAATATTTTATGTATCACAAACATATTAGCGTGAAAATTATAATTAATATGGAACATAAACAGTTTTGTTTTCAAAAATGTTATTTTAAATTAACATTTAACATTTAAATTAGTTTTGTTGATGACCTCCTTCAAAACGAAAATACAATAAAAATATATATTTAAAAAATCTGCTAGAACAACAACAACAACAACAAAAACAAAAAAATTTTATAAACAATAAATACGAGTGAATCGTGAGCATTCTTAAAAAAAAAAAATAATTAAATAAAATTAAATTTATATTAAAATTGACATGAAACTTTGTTTTGTAAACAAATCAAAATATCAACAAATGGATAATGAATAATTAATTAGAAAATGAAGAAATGAAGAAATGAAGAATGCGTAAAATAAAACAATAATTAATGAAATAATTAATTCAAATTGTAATATTGAAAAACTCAAATAGTTAAAATAAAAAAAGAAACAAAATTTTTGTTTGGCTTTTACTTTTCGGTCGAGAGTTGCTTGCTGGGAATCACAAAATTTTAATTTTAATTTTCATTTTCATTTTAATATTCATTTTAAAGGCAGAATAAAAGGCACAATAATTTTGAATGAAAATGACAATACATATTAAAAAGTTTAATTTCATTTTATGGTACACTCTCTCATTCTCTCTTTATCATTATTTGTGTTACATTATAACTTTTTTTTCTAAACATAAAACAATATTCTTATTATTTTGTTATTCCTTACAAACACATTTTTGCTCTTATTTTAATAATTTAATATTTTATTATTACTATATTATTTCCATATTTATTTAAGTTTACATATAAAACACTTTTGTATTTGTCATTATTGCTTAAATAAAATAAATGTTAAATAAAAAATCATCGATGCATATCGACTCTTTAAAAACTAACGATTATGCTAGCCTTTAGATTAGATTAGATTTTGAAACGGGTTGGGAACTTCTCACCACATCACTGCATCCTTTGGAGATTATTGTGACATGCCCACTTTAGTTCTACACACGAGTAGCAGTTCCCTAATTGCGTTATAAATGGATAGGCAGTGGATAAGTACCGAAGCCTAAGTCTAGCGAGACTATCACAGTGACTCAAAATGTGTTCTACTGTTTCCTCTTCTTCGCAACAAAGTCTGCAGTTATCGTCTCTAGTAATACATAGGTTCGATAGATGCTTTTTAATTCCGCAATGCCCTGTGAGAAACCCCATAACAAGTCGGATGCCACTTCAATTTAGCATAAGTAGGTCCCTAGTTCTGACTTTAGATCGATATGGTATGGATTCTTTAGCTTGTCTGAAGGCAATTAAGGGCTTCTGGTATAAGATATACATCTTAAATTGTAATATAAAGAAAACCGTAAAGCGCAATAGGTAATCTTAGCCTAAAATCTGAAATCTGTAAAGATATCGAAGAGAAGATAAAATAATCATTTATTTATGAGTACTCATTTAAGTGAAGACATGGTCATATACTCGCTATGCCTGCAATCAGAAAGAAGATTTATGAAACGCCAAAGCACAAATTCTGTTCTGTTCGTATAAACGTGCCCTACATGTAAAGCCTGCGTAAAAAAGTTTTTCGATTTCTTCCTGTCTAGTAACCGCACAGTCTTCGTGATTACTCCAGAAGCCATTTGTCACTACGATGATTCATTTTTCTACGCTTCTAAACAGTCCACACGTCGGAATTCGTACCGAGGTGTTACCCTTACTTATGAGCATTTTCGACATTTTTTGCGCATTTCGTGAGCTGTCTCGTTTAATATTTCAGAAGCCTGGCAAAGAGAGATCTTGTGATGTTACGATTGTAGATTTCTCCGTTCTGGATTAGTTGTCGTAGCTACATTGCCTGACTGTCTACAAAGGTAGTGTTATTTGAGAGACAAGTTGTGCCAGCTAGCATTAACTTTCTTGTTTTTTTGATTGGATATATCTCGGCTTGAAAGAAGCTACAAGTGTCAAGGAGTCGGCATGACTATCATATATATACATCTCTCAAGTAGATACTTGCCACTGCTCCGCTCTTCATATTTGAGCCATCTGGTGAATGCGAACTCCAAAGCTACCCGATACAGATCGTAACCTCTAGCTTTCTCTAGTAGAATAGGTAGAAAGGTGGGTAGCGCTAACCGATACTACTCATAGACCTGACAACTTCGTTGCAATTAGAGTTCTTAGAACTCTACTAAATTAGAGTTCTTAATGTCGTTAAGTGAAAACACACATTACTTAATATTTACGTGCAACTTGCAAATTTTAGAATGTAGTTCACTCCAATGTTAGTGTCGAAATTCAACCACTCAAAACTGACCTCACATCATTTCTGATCAAACAACGACCCCTTATTTTAATTTCTTAAAAATGATATAACTGCTCCGAAAGTACCCAACTAAGCCAGCCTCTGTAGTGATTACATTTTTTGTCGAATGCCATTTAAAGTAACGATGGACTTATACCTTTCAGAGTCCACATCGACAGTTCGTCCCTTTTGAGTTCTCTCCTCAATATCCCTACTTCAACTGAGTTTGGAATTGAGTATAATGATTTTTGGTTTTCGCGGAAAGATTTATTAATATTTCGTTCGGCTGGTGCAAACGGATTTTGGTATCTTAGTTTACGATGTGAACAGAACGTACTCTAGATGTGGACTACGCTTGCAAAAGAATGCTACATCATGACAAGAGTAAGTATTTCATATTTTTAAAATATGCCAAATGCTATTTTTTAAAAATCAAACTTAGATATTACAGTGACTTTAACAATTTGATCTAAATTTTAATCTCAGAAATTGTGAATAATCACTTAGATAAGTAAAGATAAGATAGGATATAAGTTTTTCAATTAATATAAGCATTTATCTACAACGCATTATCATAGTTGTGAATATCGTTATCTTTTATCTTTTATCGGCTTTTTACTGTCAATATACAAAACTCTTTCGCTAAATATTCTTTTCACAATTTTAACTATTTATATACGAGTTCACACGCGTACTTCAGTTATTCATAAAGCAAATTATTATTTGATATCAAATCTCATTATACTTCTGAGTATTTGACTTAATAAAATCTCACAATTAATATTTATTAAATTATATTACTTATATAAATATGTACATAAAAAATACAACAAATCAGTCTCGCTGGCTTTAGACTCTGTTATTTTAGTAAGAAACCGCGATACTTAGTCGTGGATGCCAAAACATAGGGGAAACGCGAGCAACAAAAGGGCTCACTATCTCGTTAAATGGGAAATCCAACTTAAATTTTAAGCTTTGCTGAGGCAAAACAAAATGGGTGAAACATTCCTCCCAAACATATTGGGAGAAATCAGAATTGAAAAATTACTGATTGAATTATAAGAACCAAATATAATCCACAGCAGCCTTTAATATAACATACTAAGTGGGTGAGGATATTTCGGAATTGTAAATCCCACGGACAGCAAAAGATTTACATTGACGCATACAAAACAGTCTCAAATAGTCTTTACACTAATAGAAAGCATAATTCCTACCGGCCACTGTAGAGTGAGATATCTTCACAGCAAAATGATAGTTCCAGAGACCAATATCTGACGCTTTTCTGATATAGATGTTGAAACATCTGAACATATTATCAGGCTCGTTTCCCGCGTCAAATGACCATTAAAACCATGTGGTTAAAACGTTAGACGACCTATATCGCGGTGAATACTATACCTTACTTATAAATCGTTATTATAATCGTAATATTAAACAAAACAAAAAAGTAAAACTATTTCAAATAAAATGCAATGTTTACTTCATATTCATAAATAAATTTAACAGAATTTTTATTAAAAAAATACAGATTTTACAGAATCTGAAAAAAACGCCTGAAAATAATTTGTACATTGAACTTAAATTAATTTATAAAAAATATAGTTTCTATATAGAAATATGGAAATAAATTCATTCAACTTAGAGATTTCAATAAAGGTACTGGGGGTCCAATCAAATTTACATAAAACCAATTATAAAACATTATTTTTAAAAATTTGCTAAGCTTATTTACATATAAAAATAATAAAAAGTATCTACATAAATTTAACTAATTTGTGCTTGAGCAGCGTTCACGGTTTTTTTTGTCATTTTTAGTTAGAAAATTTTGTTTGTTCCAAGATGTGAGTTTTTCACGCCGTTGCGTGAGATACTTCAATTTGTCACGCCATACAGCAGCACGTCGTGCAGGGGCAGGTGCAAGGGCAGGGGCACCGTCGACGTTTTCGTTGTCATTACAATAATCGTGATCATTTTGTAGTTTAATCACAATGACTGACTATATTAACGATTTGATGACAAAAGTAAATATTTATGCTATGCACTATAACGTGTCTTTTGAGTTTAGTTTAGTTTAGTTTAATTAGATATCATTTGATTAGGTTGGGGTGGCAAAGTTTGGGCAGATCCGTTCAAATACGTGGATATTTGTTTTGCTGCGATGTGTCTTTAGTTTGTAAGTGCTGCTACTTCGGATTTCTCTTTGGAGAGGAAATTGTAGTTGATATACCGAACTCCTTGCACCGATTGGGCCGTTGAGTTGGTAATATGGCATGCAAACAGCAACATGTTTCTTGGCGTCACTTTCCAAGCGAAACGCATGAACACACAGGAGTAGAGAGTAAGAGCTGAAAAATATGAATATTATTACAATTCGTCTTATACAAAATATAAGTACATATGAATCTAAATATTAAAAGCAACACTTCAACGAATATTTTAATAAAATTATATGATGACTTATTATTTAGAGCCTATGATTGTGAGGAAATGTATTCGGCATCTCTATCTAGTTCCCATCGAACAGTATGAGGTATAAATCTTTAACCAAGTGATATTGTTACTTTAAGAGTAAACTTAATTTTTTAAGGTTGACTTTAAAGACTTTCTCGAGAGTTGGTACAGCAGATCTTATAGGTCGACATGTACATTATATTTTTTAATGATGAATGTATATGCAACTATTAAAGTAGAAAACTCTGATTTATAAACAAATTAAGAAAGATCGTACTTGACTAGAGAAGACTGAAGGAAAGTCGCAGTCAGTATTCTGTTTGAATTTGAATAAATTTACTGGAAAATAATTCCAAGTGAAAATAAACAATTATACAGCGATAATGGAGATCAATTGTTGATCTGTAGGGGTTTGAATTTACATGCTCGTGGTTCTGTGAATATGAACCTCCAAAATTGCAATCGTTAAGCCGAGTTTTGCAATTCATACTTAAGCGTTGGATAGCGACCACTAAAGTAATGCTTCAATTTTGAACATATAACATTTTAGTAGGAATCGATACTTATTGCATATTGTGAAGTTGGTCTTTAGTTTCCTTTCAATAATGCTGAGGTTGAATCTATGCTTTTTGTTAAAACAAACGCGAAGGAAGGAAGCATTAATTATGGACTACCTAACTAATATACCACAGTTAATGACTTAAAACATTAAGAAGTGAATTCAAATAAAGCCCTATTGCCCTATTGTAAATGGAGTTTAGTATGCAAGTTTGTATATAATAACAAATTATTAAGTGTATACTAATATCAAACTCATTTTGTGAAATATAAAATAAATAAATTAATTACTTGACATGAGTACAATGGAACCAATTAAAACGGGAATTTTTATTTGAACTTCTAACAGCAAAATTTTCCAAAGTGTATTTTAAAGCTTATTAAATATTTAAATAAATTGGAATTACTTTGACAACGCGTTGCTTTAATAGCCACAGTTATAACAAAGTGCGTTTCTAATAAATTGATTAATGGAAGTTGTACCTGAAACCCTATTTAATAGTATTGCGCAAAGCACTGCTTGATTAAGTGACAATAAACTTTCACAAATCTAAATTAATTTTGAGAATCATTCACTTCAATGGGTTCGGGTGTGTAAGCAAGACGGCGATGATAAAGAGATAAGCATACAGAAAGCACATCAGACTACATAAAATGCTTTATATAATGAAAGATAATCATTGCGAATTTAATTAATTATGACATATATTAATTAATAATATTATGCTTTTTCTATATGTATACACAAATGGATATATGTTAATCAGTATTGCTTACCTAATGTCATTGGTCCAGAAATCAATTTGGGATCTTTTTTCATGTCAGCCATTGCAGCAATTGGAATGCCCCAATTAGCGACTGGTCCCCAGAAATGAGTACTAGTTGTTCAAGTAACGCTTCATTAAATTTTACAATCGTCAATAATATTTTCAAGTGTACTAACCTCATAAGATATTCACGAAATTCCTTACTTTTCAAGTTTTGGACCAGTTTTCCGAACAGGCTGGCGGATGCCCTCGCACCTTGATTTGACATCTTCCTAAGTGTTTATTTACTATGTTGATCCTATGTATTCGACACCTTTACCAAGCTGTAGGCAATTAAGCTATACTACCGTACAAATTTCTAATTATAAAATAAATATCTAATCACAATATTAAAATATTTTGTGTTTATTTTCATCAACGAATTACATAAACACTTTTGTTGTTATTGGTTAAACCCAGCTAAACGTAACGCACCACGCAACTCAAGCAAAAGTAAATTCACTACTAAAAGCAAAAATAATCACTATTTTGCCACAAGTAGGAAAGCCTACATCACAAAAGAGAACGTCTGTCGGTAGTGCAGTCACTCTGGTCAGCTGTTCGTGACACACATCTTTTTTGCATGGATGCGCTACGTAAGAAATAAATAAAATATTTGTATATATTAATAGTTGATATAGAAATAATCAATATTATAAATAAATATAATTATATAAATATATATAATAAAAATAAAAAGGTTTTTCAAATAGTAGTGAACTACAACAACAATAATTCATTTTATATTATTTTAATTAATTAAATTTTTGAACGACCATTCGGTTGTTTCGAGTATTGCCAAATACCCATCATCAGTGGTCCTGGAAATAATTTTTGTATTTAAAAATTTGTCTCTTTATATATATTTACAGATCTTCACTCAAAAATATATATAAAATTCTTAATTTGACATGGTTCATCCATAAATTTGAATAAATTCTGTGTTCACATATTTTTATGGTATAAAAGATTTTCGTACTAAACCGAATCTTGTGGATTTTCTTTTTACGGATTGAGCGAAAAAATTTGTTAAATGGAAGGAAAGCAACAACAAATTTCTTGGCTCTGCTTTCTAAGCAAAACGCATTATGACAGAGGAGTACATTATCAAGGCTTAATATTATATATATATATATACTGAAAGTCATACAACCCGAAATCCATTTTGGATCCTTCTTCATCAGCAATGGCAGCAATTGGGATACTTCAACTAGCGATTGGTCCTTAAAAGTGAGTGCTAATTATATTTAATACAAATGAGTTTTAAAATAAATAATAATTAAATAAAATAAGTGAAATATATTTCCTCATCAAATAACTGCGAAATTCTTTGCTTTTCACATTTCCAACCAGACGATCAAAGATACTTTCTGAAATTTTCGGCATAATAAAGATTTTAATAAAACACAAACTCTCTTACGTTTACACAGAACATGAATTATAAATCTAGTAAAATAAATAAAAATAAAATAAATTTGCATTTTGATATTATAATTTTTTTTTAATATCGGAATATATTGTAAAGACATACTGTATTACCTAATAATTTATTAAAACTTGTAAAAAAGTTACATATATTATCAAAATAATAAAAGCAATAAAAACCTAGTGAATTCGTATATATTGAAGTCTGCTATGAAACATAAGTGCTGATCTAGACCTGTTAAAGAAACGTGGAATACGAAAAAGTGAATAACAAATTGTGGATTCTATGAGACCACGAATCTACATAGAAAGTGTATGTAAAAAGTGAAAACTTATCCAAAAGCGGAAATTTGTTTTAGTTTTTCTGTTGCCATAAACAATCGGCATGATCGTGAATAATATAAGGGAATATACACATACTATCAACCGAGTTGCTTTAAAGTCCTTGCGTGTAGTCCAAATTACATCTGGGATGGGTTTTGATTGCTGCACATCTCATTGTAAGTTCTGTGCTGAGCAATTTAATAAAAGATAGCAAAATTCAACAATATGTAGACATCTGTATGCAAGTTCCGATGCCCCGTTAAGACATCAATCTTGAGCTAGGTTAACGGGTCACAGCCGATTAGAGAATCATGCTATAGCTTTAAAACTCTCGTTTCATAATATCTGTCGCAGTTGTAGAGAGGACGATCCAATTGTCTTAAGACTGCTTTGTTACTGCCGGTTTAATAATTTAGAAGTTTCCTTTTTTGTGGCTGTTGATCAACTCCAGAACCTTCCTCTAAACAGCATTTTAAGCTTTACCAAAGATTAAACCTCTAAGTTTCTTACACTGTAACACAATGGGCCAATAGTCGGAGTGGATCTGTCCTAATTTATATAAATAGATATTTATAGAGTGATTAGACACCAATACTTGACCCTTTTGACAATAATTGTTATTATCTAGAGAAATTTTATCTCACATGCTGAGTTTTCTAATAGTCACGGCGAACTAAGGTATTAGCTAAATATCTTGATTCACTCATTTTGTAGTGAATTGTAAAGCCGTGAAAAATGAGATTTTAACAGCAAATGAATAGGTTTTGAATAAGTGAATACTTGAATCTGAAAGAAAATCATATACTTATGAAAATTAAGAAAAGTAGTGGTTATATATGATTTGTTTGAAGCAAGCAAAATCTTAGATTTGGAATAGAGTGCATGCTTGCGCCAAAAAGTAATTGACGCAAGAAGTGTGCAAGAAGTTAAAAGCGAATGAAATTAATATTCAATTCATAATCAAATCACTTCACTTCATAGTGTATATTATATTCTCAACTGCAATTGTAAGTTTTATTTCCGAGTATATGTTGTCCTTTTTTGCTGGTGCGTATCACAACTAATAATAATTTTTTTTTTGTTTTTGTTTTTGAAGAGAAATTAATTAACGCCTCTCAGTAAATTCAAGAGCTCTGTGTTCTCTTTGCCATCTCTTTTCGCACTTAAGCGCCAACACCATTGCTTGGGAAAGCTCACTCTAACAGAAAAAGCTGCACTGTTTAGTCCTTGGACCACATTTGAGCAGCATCCACAAAACCGTTCCTTGCTAAGCACACGCCAATCTGTGAATCAGTGTGAAATTCGTGAGCAACGGTGAAGGTTTTAAAATTTTCTTTTCATTCAAATATTTTGGAGCAATTCCAACATTTTTTTACATCTGCTGTCACTTTGTCACTTGGTGTTGGTGCTTAAAAAATTGAGTGCAAAAATATGAAATTGTAACGAATTAAATAAATTGTTTGTGTTCATTAAAATAAATTAGAAAATTACGAATTTGCAATTGTAAGGCAATTTGTTAAAAGCAGCAGCAGCAGCAGCAGCAGCTGCAACGTAAGCGTCAGCAGCAGAAACAACAACAACAACGACAACGACAATCGAAAGAAATATCAAACGCCAACCCTTAAAACACACCCACTTTTTCATAGAAACTCAGTTTTGTAATATTTTTTGTTTTTGGTTTTTACTTTTTGTGTTTTGTTTTTGTTTTTGGTTTTGTTAAATTAAGTTTCGCAGTTGTTTTATTTCAACAAAAATAACAAAGTAGTTTTCTAAATAAATTTACAAAAAGAACAACAAAAAGAGCCAATTTTACAAAAACAATAACAGAACAAACCAAGAACAACAACAGAAACAAAGAATCAAAATTTAATGTAAATGCAGGAGTACAAGAAGAAGAAGAAAAGAAGTAGAAGAAGAAGAAGCAGCATCAGCAGCAGCGTCATTTTACACATAGAGTGCCGCTCCCAAATTGCGAAACTAACCAACAACAACAATAGCAGGAATAAAAAAAAACCGAGCACTTCGACGATAGCAAAAACGTAAACGATTTTGTGGATTTTCCATCGTCAAATTTCCAAATTTTGTAACAATTATTCACAGTTTTTGTAATTTTCAATTAATTTTCTCTTAGAATCGAAAATTTAGAAAAAGTCTCTTCAGCAGAAAAATACAGAATTCAAATAATACCACAACGGCTTCTACGACGTCCTTCCACAACCTAACTTAACTTTAATTTCAACCAAATTTATGGATTCATGAGAAGCTTTAGTTGACGGCTACATAAGTCATTAAAATCATTATGAACATAATATGTACATTAGTGGTCTTTTAAGTACTTTTAATCCTTAATTAATCCTTAATTTAATATTCTTAAAAGTTTCTCTTGATGTTATAACATTAAGACTAAATTTTTAAAATCCAAAAGTTTATTTATTCACGTGAATACTACGTCACTCTCTCGATAGTTTTACCTTTGATGTAATCTACTCGAAATAAAAACTAATACATAATCAAATACCAATTTACATATTATATGCGTCAGATTAAGCACCCACTATTCTCTAGATAGGTAAATATTCTCTAGTTTAATCGGGAATTTCAAAATGTATAACAAATACATAATAAAATACTAATTTATGTATTTTGTTCATCACAGTCAGCACCCAGTATTCTCCAGATAGTTTCTAGAAGAAGTCAATATAATCTCATTAAAATAGAAACAAATACATAACAAAATACTAATTTATGTATTTTGTACATCACAGTCAGCACCCTGTATTTTGTTTGCATTGTAATTTTGTTTTATATATTTCATATATATATTCATATACATATCATATATTGTTATATATGAAATAAGCAATTGAAAGTTAATTGAATAAAAATTCATATGATAATGAGAGAAATACACTCCCCCAAAATCCAGAAAATTGCAAAACTATAAATGCTGTATGAAGAGTAGTTTTAAGTATCACTCTTTTTAGGGTAAGACTGTATATTTCTTTGCTATAGTTTTAATTTCGTCTTTCATTGAAGAAATTTTGAGATCGCGAAAGAATCGATATCCGTTTATTAATAAAAAAGTAATAAAAGTAAGTCCCGTAGAATTTCAAATTGTGATCTAAAAAATTTTAATATTACAGTTCGGCAGTAGGTCCACACTAGCTTAAACACACCTTTATTCAGAAGAATTGAAATTCCAACAGTAGGTAACTTTGCTTACTTGTAGTGTAAGTTACAAAATTGAGAATTTCCTTTTAATTCATTTGATTCGTTTTGGGTACAAGTCTTATGTTGAGCCTTTTCCGAGTTAGTGCATCTGGACAATTTTACTCTATAATGGTTGGGGGGTTTCTGCAGAGTCCCACCCATCTCACTGACGTTGAATCCTCTTCAATATGAATGTGAATTGATGGCTCCATACTCCATCCAATATTTAAACAAACAGAAATTTTCTCAGTAATGATTTCTTTTTACAGTAAATACTGATAAGGACCTCAAGATATTTAACTAAGGTATGGCATAAATGTGTTTCCAAATAATTTAAATTTGAGTATTTTTATAAAGTTCATTCAATCTTCTATTCCGACAAGTAAAACATGCATTCATTTAAGCCGGAATGACACATTTTAGTAGATTAAACTATGCAGCAGTCAGAAAATATGCAATCTTCACAGTCAATTATTGGACGAAACTTGCCTTTTAAATAGAATTTATTTATTTAGGCAATAATATTTTTTAAAAAGTTTTTTAAATTTTTGATAGCTGCGTTAAACTTGCAAGTTCTATAACAATTTGTATTCTCACAGAATTGGCGTGGAAATAATTGTACTCAATTTAAAATAATTCAAATCGCGCGTACTGGGTACTCTTCTTATGTACCCTACAATTGAGCTGAAGATATATAGCTACAGATAGATTTGCAATATCGCAGCTAATGAATATCAACTTTCACTGATGTCATACATATTTACTTCTTTACTTTTTAAAAGGTTCTCCAATTTCAACTATCGTCTTTAGTATATCGATTAAGTGTTAATATTATATATAACTAATGTAACGTTTAATAGTCCTCTATACTGTCAAGAAGCTTTAAATCATCACTAGATTGATCCTTAAAAATAAATAGTATATTCAGTCACAAATTAAAAATAAAAATAAATAAAATTAATTTAAATATTTACTAAAAATTAACTTATATTATACATATATATCACTTTTTGACATATTATACTCAGTACAAAATACATCTTTCTTTTATTTCTTTATACTAACATATAGTCTTTATCAGCTAGCTGATACACAGATTATAAAGTGTTCTAAATCGTCCTTATCACCTTTTTTTGCAATATTTTTTTATAGATGGACTTTTTACTTGCCATGCATATTCAAATTTTACGCGACTTCGAGTTATATCCTCCTTCATTATTGCATCTTAATTCAAATGGGTTATTACTTTTATTCTGAGTCTTGGATAGGTATTAATTGTTTTAATTTGAAACCTACCGTGTTTCGTCAGCTCTTTTAACAGTACATGTATATGCGTCATGTAGAACGCATATACTGGTGCAATTATTTTATCGTAATAGGCTCATAAAGTCGCCCATATATTTTGTTAGCTTCATCCTTCTTTTTTTTTGTCTGCAATCCTTAGTTTCCATAGTAAATGAACCCAGATAGACTCCACATCGTAACATTCAAAACTGCAGAAAAAATGGAACATCTTCAAGACTTGCGAAATAATATTATATTTATTATTCATATAAAACCGAATTTCTTTTAAACTTATAAATTGTTAAAAAATTTATAATATTTTAGTTGAGTACAAAATTTTGTGATAGGTATATGAAATTACAGTAGATAGGTATATTTAGACGCTATACAACCTTTTCTATATTGTTGCTATTATTCTATCAATATCTAAGCACAGTCATAACAAAAAATTCTTTCCAATTACCATATAAAGAAGATATAAGATTTATATATTTCGTATTTAAAAATTAGTCAAGGTGATTACTTCAAAATCTCAGACATATTAGTGATAGTTAGCTTTCAGCTAAATATTAACTGTAAAGTTTTTATATCCTTGAATAAGCGTATGTTCTTGGCCTCTTGGAAATTTTTTTCGAAAATTCTGACAAAATACTGAATAAAATACGTAGTTCAGCACCTGGTAAGCAAAAATTCAGTGGTAGCTTGCTGTGTGCTTGTTCACACAGGAATAAGTGGCAACGAGCCCACATATAACCCTGCAAGGACTGGTTCAGCCACTCAACTTTGTAAACCAGAATAGTATTGTGATATAAGTTGATTCACAACAAAGTTTCTGATAGAAAAATGGTTAGCAGTGGAAAGAAGTCAAAACAAGCGCGACACTCAAGGTAATCGCCAGGCTAAAGTAATGGTGCGATCATTCAGCTGCAGTGGGTTATCTCTCCTAAAAAGAACAGAACTGAAGTTGTTGACAGTTTGTCTGATGGGTCATCTGGGCCTGAGTTATCATTTTAAGAATATGAGAAGCAATGTTTAGTCACATAGGTAATTATGACTGTCTAGATTTGATCTGGAAAAGAACGAAACTACTATGTCGAGAATTTTGATCCTCTTCTGAGTTTTGTATTTAACAGTTGATATTTGAAACGCAAAATATATTCGGTTCAGTTAGGGTAGGTTAGTTAAAAATATGAATCTATCTGAAGAGTATTGTTTTTGCTCGAAAATGAAGAGATCTCTAATCACATTCTTTGCGACTGTTCGGCTTGATATATATCACGAGGTAACTGCTAAGTTAATAAATTCTATCCTCGTTCGAAGTTATAATGTTTTCAGTGATTAACTGCACAAAAGATCTCTAGTCATATTTATTGTGACATTCTGACTTTAATCTATGCCAAGAGTAGACAACTAAAGTTTCTGCCCTTGCGCGAAGATAGGACGTGTTTAATAGCTAGCATTTTATCTTCATTCGAAATACGAAGAATCTTCTGTTCGGTTATGGTCGGTTAGTTACATAAAAGATCAATTATTGTCATAAAGTTCTGCTCTCCGAGAATCAACACCTCATCGTTTTTGTATTATGTTCTTCTATTATAATGAATATCTAAATTGTGCTAAATTATGCACTAAATGCTTGTATCAATGAAGTGAAGGGGCTTATTTTGTAAATTTTTTTTATAATTGTGTTTCATTGAAATCTAGAAATAAGTAAATCTAATTGTTGTTCCGAATATTCCCTCCTATAATTCATTCATAGTTCATTACTTTTGAAGAAATATAAAATATATATTTAATAAATTTTTACGAGATTTTATTATGAATAAAATATTTCGTGCAATTTATGTTTCTGACTGTCATTGAAGTCAATATTAAAATTTCCATAGAAATAGAAAAGTTTCCATATTTTTCCCTGCTCGCATGCAAATCTGCTCGACTGATGCCGTTCACACATTAAAATAAAAAAAATTAAAGTGCCTTCTTACAATAACAATAATAACAACAATGGCACCAACACTAATAAAAAAACAACAATAAATCTACAATAAGTCTTTTGAAATTGTTGTTAAATTTTTATTTTATTTAATCAACTTAATAAAAAAGAAAATCTTAATAAACTAAGCCAATTTTACAATTGAAAATGCAACGCAGTTTTTAATGAAGAAGATTTTGAAGACTTAAGCTGCCCGCTCAGATCTCACGACGGCACCCGTTCGAGCGGTCGAGCGGTTCGAGCGATTTAGTTGCAAAATTACACACTCGGCGAAATGTTGCCTTTGTTGGTCCGAGCAAATTAAAAAATTATAAAAAATATTATTCTAAACAGTAAACTATTATTAACAAAACAATCTATCGCAGGCATCGAGCAACAATAATTAAAAAATTTTTTGTGTGTCTTTGCAGAGTTGGAATGATATTTTCTTAAAACAGTGCAGTGAAGTGAGTGTTAAAAATTAATAAATTAGTTAATAATAATAAATTAATAACGATCAAGAAAATTATAAATAAATTTAATATAAAAAGTTGATCAAACTTAAAAAGCTGAAAAGTGTTCAAACATTTCATTATCATTTTAAAGGATACCTCGAAAAAAGATAAATTTTAAGCCACACTAACCTAACAATACTCCCAATGTAAGTAAGAAATTATATAAATAAAATAAACATTTTTCTTTCATTTAATATTTTTATTTATTAATTAAAAGTTGTAAAATAATAATTTATTGTATAGAAACTCCAAAAGGGCGTGTGTTGACTTTGAGTCCTTTGCGTGTGTATGTTTTGTTTTTGTTTTTGACGTTTTTTTTTGTCAAATACATACTCTCTATATGCTTGTGCTTTAGCTGCACAATAAAAATAAATGAAAATTTTTTTTCACATGTAATAAATTTGATGATAAAATAAAAATGGATAATGGGCGATTTTCTTCTCTTCACATTTATAAAAGTACGCTCGCATAAGCACACAGAGCCACACATAAATCCACATACACATCCACATACAAGCCTACAAATGGAGACAATGTCTGCTGCTACACTACTTAAACGTCAAAGCCATAGACCAATAACAATAACAACACGAACAACAACAACAATAAAAACAATAACAACAATTCATCTGGTTTCTGTATTTCTGAACTCGTAATTTTGGAATTCACCATTACACAATCCAAGAAGACAAAAAAAAAATAATAAATATACCACAAGAATGTGTTCCTAACATCACACCGCACGTTAAAATGTTTTTGTTATTGTTGTTCGTGCAGCTAATCCTTTTCTCGTAATGCTCGTAGTGTTCGTAGTCTTGTATTGTCATTCACAAGCGTGGTGAAAAAGCTTTTTCAATGCTCTTACAAGAGCGCTGAGCATTTTAAAATTTCACTCATTTTCTTAGTGAGCAGAAGCAGCAACACACATGTGTCGGTCGCTCTACTCTTCAGTTGCGATTGAGCTTATGCCTCCTGCTAATACCTTATTTGCTTATTTACTTTATTGCCTGCCACTGATAAGAATTTTACTTTTGCTTCATCCCACGAATGGCATTGTAAGTATAAGGAAAGTGTCAGCTTTGTCGATTAATTACAACAAATGCACACATTTGCAGCCATTTCCTGTTTCCTACATTGTTGGTAGAACAGCAGAAAATCAAAGCAGAGTGAGTTTAATATCCGCCGTTGGATAATTCAACACATACTTCAAGTTAACTGAGCTTCTTAAATCTTAGTTTAGATTTTGATAAATGTTATTATGTTAACATATATCTTTATACGAGTATATGTTAAAAAAATATAAAATAGTATTCTTCACAGATTTGAAATTTCGTTTTCACAAAAAACACTGAATTGTTTCTATTGTTTATTTTTTGACAATAACGAGCCACAGCTGATTAGGGAACCATGCTAGAAGATTGAATCACCTGTTTAATCATTTTTGTGACAGTTGTGGAGAGGACGATGAAAGTGTCTCATATCTACTTTGTTACTGCCTAGTGTAAACGAAGCGCCGATTAATTATTTTGAGAGCTTCCTTTTTTAAGGATCTTGGCGAACTACAGAACTTCTGTTTAAAAAGCATTGTAAGCTTTACCGAAGGTTAAAGTTGATTTTTAAAACTCTAAGTTTTCTTTATACAGTAACACAACAGGCTAATAGGTTTTAAAATTAATTTAAAATATTTCATCAATTAACTTTGTCTCTAACTTTGTAACTTCTTTACTTATATACACTATGGGACGAATAATCTTAATGTGTGTTGATTTAAAAGTTTTGTAACAGTCTTTTTTCCATAATTTTTATATGTCCAGTAGTATGGTTAAGGAGAATAAAACTATATGTACCTTGCTATATTCGACCTGACATTGTTATGATTCTTGATTAATATTCTTAACTAAGCATCGATCTTCGCACTGATACGAAGTTCATTTGCAGAACTTTTTTTAATTATGAACGTCAAATAAAACGGGTAATTAAATGGAATTTAGCCAGTTCTATTATCTTTTTCATTGCACTTATGAATATTAAATAAAAATATTAAATAATCTTCATTTAGAATGAAAACGTTGTAATGAAAAACACTCAACTCATGAGCCATCAATTATATTTCGAAATTATGAGGATATTAACAGATTTGTGCATATATAGTATCAGTATGGATATTTTGAATACTAGTACCGCATAAGAGATGATCGTTATCCAACTTCTAATTAATGGAAAAAAAAATTATTTCAATGACACTGCTGATGTATGATTATTTGGAAATCGTGAATTATCTCATGACACTAAGAGCTATTAGGTCAGTGTTGCAAGGCTATATCCACATTTTGAAGTGAAAAATTCCCATAAGTTACAAATTTGTCGTCAATATGAAACGACGACAAAATTCTAATGAAATCTCTTTACGTTACAACACGAAATTTAAAAAAAAAGTCCAAATAAGTGGGCTGAGAGATTATTCTAAGTAATCTAATAATCTGGTATATTATTAAGCTATCTGAACTGAGAAAATCAATTTATAGTGAACTAGTTCATTTAGGTAAGAACAAAATATTAGCTTCCTTGCCGCTGTAATTGTACAAACTGTAATAAACTCGAACTGGAACTATAACCGACGATGATTGTGGATTATTGTTAAAGATGCTTATTCAATGCCTAGTTTTATATGAGGTTATCTTATAATAAGAGTCGTGACACGACATGGCGTTGCACTTAGCTAAGAATAAGATATATGTCATTCAAAAACAGAGCCTTCTTTTGATTATTGTGCCAAATAAGTAATTTATAGAAGAAAAATTGACTGGCACATTATTCAGTTATGCTCCAGTGGAAATAAGGAAGGATTCCTTCCTTGTTTACTTTGCGTATAAACTATAATAAAATGTTTTAAATTTTCTGAAAAAATAATGAGCATTCAGCAAATTCAAACTTCAATAATACCATATACCATAGTATTATTATAATACCATAATAATACCATAATAATATCTCACTAATATCAAAGCTGAAAACATTTATTTGACATTGAAGATCCTTTAAAATCAACAACAAATTCTAATATATTACATCTTATAATGTAATAGAAATAAGTATTAAAAAACCAATAGACATGTAAGATATTACAAACTAAGTATCTATATAGTACCAGAACATGTAATAAAGAAGTGACGTTGTTAAAAATGGAGCGAGGATTAAGAGAGCCTTGATATATTAGTACCTTGAAGTGCCATAACTGCTTTAAATGCAGCACTCAATATAATGACGTTAATTAATTTGAAATAAAAAGTTTTCAACTCAAAACAGTTTATTTTATTTTTATTTATAATTAAAATTTTAGGATTGAATATATGTTCAAGGATTTCTGGTAATTGTTTTCCAAATATTCTTTTTCGTTCGCATCTGTCATTAACAATATTTAAGAATGCATAATTCTTTGTTTCTTGTGGTATTAATACCACTTCTGTAGTTGATAAATACAGAAATTAAAATAGAAAATACAATATATCTTACAAATTGTTTTTCAATTTACTTAAGGTATGCAAATATCGCAACTCCAATTACGACTTCAACTCAATTTGGATTTTGATATCTTGATTTTATATGCTCAATATCAGTTTTAAGTTGTCCTTAAAGAAATGCCTAAAGTAAATAATATAAAATGTATTTAGCTCTAATTTTTATTCTCAAAAACATGAAACTGTGTCAGCTTACGTAAAAGTATTTAGCTTCGAGATACTCGTTATTGATGAAAGTTTCCTTTATCTTTGTTAATCAAGTCGACAAAGATTCCGCATACCGAAAATGCTTCGTCTTTCGATTGTTAGTGATTGTTTTTTGTTTTTTGTTTTTTGTTCTTTCTTTTCACATTTCTTTATTTTCCAACATTTTCTCAATTTTCCTAATTTTCTCGACTTAATTACAAAATATACGAACAATGTTGTCTGCTTAAACGTTTTATGTCCTCCCCTTTCCCTCCCACGTCGCTAGCAAGTCTTTTCGAATTAGTTTTCGGTGTGAAAATTCATTCAAATTGCAAATGGAAAACTCATCGAATTTGAGGAATTTGTGCTAAAGTAATGGTTTCACCCGGAAATGGTTTCACCCATTTTTGTCGCTGCTATCTTCTTCAGAGACTGGGAGCTGAAGTATAACTTTGATGACTTCTACAGTTGAAAAGTTGGAAGAGTAAATTTATAATTATTTTCCTATATAAATTTTTATTTCTTTAATAATTTCGATTAGTATTATAATAAATAAATACAATAAAAAGTAATATTATCGGTAATTAAAATATTTTATTAAAAACTTTCGTCTTTTTTGTTTTATAGTTCACTTTAGAAACCTTCCTATTTTTTAGAATATTAAAGTTGCATTCCAAAGTAAATAGAACAAATAATTATTTGTTAAAATTTTTTGCTGGCACTTTGACTTTTGCTTATTTCAATCTCTGCTAATATTTTTATAAGTAATATAATCTAAGTGTATTTGAGTTAAGTTGAGCATAGTGTGCAGCATGAAATGAATTGTTCAATTATTAGTATAAATTAATAGGAATTTAGCAATTATTAACAATTTAACAATTAACAATTTTAACAATTTAATTTAATTCTATTATTTTGGTTTCGCACATAAATTTCTTAATAATTCCTTATTTCTTTTAATCTGAATACATTTTTCACAGTTTGATGATGATTAAATATGGAAAATATGATCAACGAAAGAACATTATTAAAATGACATATGAGAGATATTTTAATTATTGATACTTCATTCTTTATCAGTTTCTCAATCAATTGTGTTAATAAATTATATATTCTAAGATTTTACGTGTTGCTTAGTAGACAATAGCAGTTTAGTAGGCATACAAAAACCACCTCTTAGGAATGAATAAGGAAGATTTCCACAATTAACCCGAAGGGCAGTGTGCGAAACTTCATTTCAGCAATTGGAGAAAAACGTAGAGACAAAGAAATTTAGTACTTAGAAGTCTAAGTGTATTTAAGCCAGAAAACATAATAGGTTGAGATGGTGGGTTTATTGCTTGAGCGCGAAGGTGTGTTAGTTGTAGACTCTGTGATCAGGGTTACGAAAGCCAAAAAGGGTGTGATAGAGGCATATGAATGTCTGTAAATGAACTAATAGG